GTCCTGGTGGGTGGGTTGCTGGGCTCTGGGCCGGTTTGTGCCCTGGTTCCCGGTTCTGGGCTGGGGGGCCTTTGGTGCGCTGGTGGGCTGCGGGACTCATGCACTGGTGGGTTGGGCTGGCTGGGGGCGGGGTCGGTGGCCCATGGCAGAAGATAGGCCAACCCAGCCTGGGTGTCTAGCGTGCTGTATGTTCTGAGAGATGTCTGAATGATGGGGTGGGCATAGTATTTCTTCTGGGGTGGGGCTGTTTAGGTGGCCTTGGTGGTGGCCAGGGGCTGTACTGGGTTGGTTGGCTGGCCCCTTTGTTGTGGCGGAGGCTCACTCTTGGTCCCTTTTTGCGCTGTCGGCGGCTGGGTGTGCTCTCTCGGCTGGATCGTCCTTACTGGGGTTCGGTAGCTTCTTTGGGCTTCGGGCTGGCTGAGGGTCGGGTCTTGGGGATCTGGACGGCTCTGGGGCTGGTGGTCTGTTGGTCCCGGTTTCTGGCAGCCCTCCGGGCTCTGTTTGTACATGATCTGGGGCCTTCCGGGCCTGGCGGTCTGTCCAGAAGAAGAGGTCTTGGGGCCTCATTCCCTGGGTGGGTCTCGGGAAATGGGGGAGCCTACCGGGGTCAGCGGGGGAGCTGACCTCCTGTGGGGGCATTCTTGCTCCCTCAGTTTTTTCTCCCCACCCTCCACCACACACCTCCACCCTCTTCATATTTCAACCGCAGTCATGTAGGGTTTTACTGCAACTATTTTACATCTCTGTTTGCTGTAACCACCTGGGCTCCAATTTTACTGTACACCCTAGACATTCACTCGTAATATTCTCATAACATTTACATGTTTCCCATCCGGTTTCCCCCACAACACAAAAACATGTACAATAGGTTGCCTTCAGGCCCAGGCCGCCCTTGAAAAAGAGATCTGAGATCTCAGTGGGATTTGCCTGGTAAAATAACAGTAAATAAATAAAAAATATATAAATAAAAACATATAGGAAGATGGGGGTGGGCACTTATGGCATGCAAGGGGTATAATTGCATTATAGAACAACATGCATCAACAGCACATTTGAGGGTGTGTGTGTGTGTGTGTGTGTGTGTGTGTGTGTGTGTGTGTGTGTGTGTCGGGGTCTTTTTCACTCCCCCATTCCTCATTGCCCCTCTGGGGATGGGGTCCTGAGGAGGGGCAGACCGTCTGGTGGGGCCTGGGCTGTCGGCAGAAAACTAGGAAATGCTTACACAGCACATGTTCAGAGGAGTCCCTGTTAACTTAGTCAAATGATGACCTCAGACATGAAAAGTGCAACTGCTCAGTCTCACATCTATCATATTCATCCATCTTCTTTGCTCACTTCTTCGTATTTGGGTCGCAGGGAAGCTGGTGCCTATCGTTAGTGGTCAGTATGCAAGAGGTGGTGTTAAGTTCACAAATTAAAAACATTTTTAGTTCCTTTTTTATGTTTTCATCTGGGAAATATTCATATTTTGAAGCAAAACAGTTTGATTTTGCAGTTGAGAGGTGGCTGTGGCCAGGACCGGCTCTAGCCAACATGCTGCCCTTGGCAAGATTTTATTGCTGACAGCGATGAGAAACACCTGTTCATGTTAAAGAGCAGCTGTGGGTTGAAGCAGTTCTAGGGGTGTCCGGGAGTATAGAGCATTTGACTAAATACCTGGGATTAATAGAAAAAAAATCTAAAATGAATGTTTTATGAAGATAAAATACTGAAAACCAGATTTTAACTTGAACTTTATCTGAGACCGAAACTTCCATTATCCTTTTGTTTTGCTTGTTTTCTATTTCCACACTGAGCACCAGTCTTGACTGCATCCTGTGGTATTTTTATCAAGAAACATCCTCTGCTATGACACTTGATGACAAAGCAGGCTGAGAAAACCACAGAACAAGTTATTTCATAAACTTGAGGAATCAGTGATAATTCTACAAACTAAATCAAATATTCACTGATAAAATGTTATAAAATATTTTCATAAATCAGCTCACCATTGTTTAATGAAGTTGATTTAATGAGATAATTTTAGAGACACTTTCAACRAGTGTCAGAAATTCTTCTGTCCTCTTTCAGATATTAATTCTCATCCATGGGGAAAAGTTTCAAATAAAAARGAAACGTCAGAATACTGCTTTAATTCATGCAAATATTTGTTTTTATTAAAAGTAAATATTATTTTTAGTTTGTTTCTAATACACTTTAAATTTTGCAGTCTTAAAAGCATCTGTAAGCTAATTTTAACTTGAATGTTACTTTTAGTTTATTATGATTATTTTAGCCATTCTTCTGCTAATTTCTGCTTCTTTGTGCTTCTTTCTGCTAATTTGAGCTTTTTTGTATCAAATGAACTTCCATTAAACTTTAACTTTCAGCTAAAGTATTCAGCAAGAAGGGTTCAGACTAGCATATTTGCAGGAAATGCAATTTGTCTAGTTGTATTTATTATACACTTACTACAGAAGAGCACAATAAATCTTAAGCCCATAAGCGTCTTGCGTAAATCCACACCAGACAATAAAAGTTTGGCTGTTTCATATACTGTAACTGATCAATATTTGCTAGCTAAATAAATAAATAAATAAGTAAATGAAACTGGAAAGGTTTTCTGTCTGTCAGTTGCAAATGACAGCAAATGAATGGTTCTAAAACAAATACCCACAAATCTCAAAGTTCTGAATATTTTATTAATTTTTGGGCCTCATATGTTGTGACAGAACAACAGAAACAGAACTTGAAGGTGTTAACAGGAAATGATGCATTTCAGCCACCGTTTGCACCTGCGTTGCAGTCCTCACCCCAAAATCCTTCTGCTATATATAAATTCAACTCCATTTCTTCCTCTAGTTTCTTAAATTCAAGTTGTGTTTTTATCTTTTTAAGAATGGTCGGGTGGACGTCAGGGTTCTTGACTATCTTTGCTGCATTTTGGCCACACTGTGGAAAAAAACAACACAAATTTAATTAAGCCTTAAGT